TGTGTCTCTGTTCAGTCTCGTTTTTCCTGTTCGTGCAGCCCACACTGATACTGAGCTCTGAAACACTGTCAAAACATTGTACAGTCGCTTATCAGAAATATTCTGAATTCAGTCCATTCCAGTAATTCATTCATGTTGATGAGTCTGACCAATCATATCTCTCGTTTGCACTGTGGGCGTCGGCCTTCACTCGTACCATGAACACACTGGAGTCATCTAGGAGTCTTCAGTCTGATCTCGTATATAGTGAGGAAAGAGTAAGAGTTGAGCTGAAGCAGTGCTTGAAGTGGGGAATAGGGTGATTAATGCACTGCTACTGTGTAATAGTTAATGATACTTATTATAATTATCTGCCACACAACAATTTGAATAAGTTAGACCATGATTGCATCACACCGGTGGGAATGAAGTGATTGAGCAGCAGGAAGCTGATGATGTTGGTAGCTTAGGCTTGTTCGGTTGTGTTTTTGTAGAGGGTTATTCTATGAAACCTGCTGTAGGACAGACTGGATTTAATCAGGTCAAATCACTCTGTTTCAGGGCTGTACAAGAAGTCTGGTAAATTAGTATTCCTCGGTCTGGACAATGCTGGTAAAACGACGCTGCTGCATATGCTCAAAGATGACAGACTGGGTCAGCATGTGCCAACCTTACACCCCAGTAAGTGTGCACTCACCACACCGCCTCGAGAGAGCTTCATTTTCACCAGTGCGTCTGTAGACCGTACTGTACGTGACGAACGACCGTGAAAATCATATGCTCTCAGTGGATACGCATGAGCAACAGACTTTAAATTCTTGTTCATGAAGACCATATGAAGGCAGTTGGCTATTTTCTCATATTCGTGTAATATTCTATGGAATAAAAAGGCAATGTAACTCTCACAGTTCTGACTTAACTTTTCATAATTCCAAGTTTAAATTTCTCAATTTTGAGTTATCGCTCAATAGCGTGTTTTGTTCAAGAAATGTTTTGGTAAATTTCTTTTTGTTTTCGTTAGCATTGAGTGGTCTTTGTGAGCACAACATTCCAGATTACTGATGCATTACAGTGTTTACTTCCTTTTTAGTCATGATTTTAACAGTTCCTTTGTTGGGGAAAAAATACTATGATGAGATTACAGAATTCAGAAGTTGTCATCTGAAGTATGAAACTGTTCATTTATTATTGTTGAAGTAAAAATGTCTTCAGTCGAGCAGGAATAATCTCTCATTGGTCTGTTTCTCCTCTCAGCCTCAGAGGAGCTGACGATTGCTGGCATGACCTTCACCACGTTCGATCTGGGTGGCCACGCTCAGGGTGAGTAGACGGATCCACACCTCGCCGTCTGTCTGCATCAGATCACGTGTGTGCTCAGTGTTGTGTTTCTGCGCAGCTCGACGAGTGTGGAAGAACTACCTCCCAGCCATCAACGGCATCGTCTTCCTGGTGGACTGCGCCGATCTCACCAGACTGGCCGAGTCCAAAACAGAGCTTGACGTGAGCTTTATACTGTCTCCAGCCAGTGGACATGAGTCAACTAACCATGCTTTTGATAATTATTTAGTCGAGGCGTGTCCAAACCTGTTCTTGGAGGGCCACTGTCCTGCAGTGTCTAGTTAAACACACCTGAACCTGCTACTCAAGGGCTCCAGACTCACTAGAAACTTCCAGGCAAGTGTGCTGGAGCTGAGCTCTGCAGGACTGATGTTGGGCCTCCAGGAGCAGGATTGGATTAGTCTGTCAATTACTTCGATTGACTGCATGGAAAAAAAATTTTCTACACAAAATAATGATCTTTAAAAAAGCATCATGACCCCTTTAAAAAAAATTAATACCTTTTTCTTTTTCTTTTTTTATACATTTGAATACATTTTTTACAAAGTTGTTATTCCACGTCTTGCCTGATGGTGAGCTTCAAACAATGTGCAATTTGAGCAATAAAAACAAGTCTCTGTCTGAGTAGAGTTAGGGTTAGAGAATGTGAAAATGTAATTGTAATTTTTTTTTTAAATGAGGTGAAACATTTTAAAATGTGAAATAAGGGGTTAAAGTTTAAACACTTTTTTTTTTTTTTAAATAAGGGATTAAAATGTAAACAAAACATTCAAACGTAAAATAATGGGCTAAAATTTAAATTGAAAAAAATGAGGGGTTAAAATTTAAACTTAAAATTTAAATGAGGGGTTAAAATTTAAATAATTTTAAAATGTAAAATAAGTAGTTAAAAAGTAAACTGAAAAAAAGTATACTTTGGGCTTAATGGAGACTCTCTGTCAGAGCGAGCCTTTATACAAAATGGATATTTTATTTGAAGTGTCTCGATTCCTCAAGTCTCCTGTCTCATGCCATACTGTACCTGTGTGTGTGTGTTGGCTGTGAATAACAGGCACTAATGACAGATGAAACCATTGGAAATGTGCCCATCTTGATCCTCGGCAACAAGATCGACAAACCTGAAGCCGTTAGTGAGGAGAAACTGCGCGAGATCTTTGGACTGTACGGTCAGACGACGGGAAAGGTAAGACACAGCACTCTCAGGGACTCTTCATGAGAACATGATTGAGATGAGAGCCTGAAAGGAACAGTCAAAACAAATTGTAGCTTGTGTCCTGATTTCTTTGTGTGTAGATGTCTATGTGAAAACATGCCTCTTTCAGATCCTCTGATGTGAACCAGTCTTTGGCAGGAATAAAGTAAGGTGTACATTGATTGGCCAAACGCCTGCCATTGTTAAAAACGCAGTAAACATAGTTTACATATACATTCTCCATGAACGTGAAAAACAGTGATAGATGGACCAACGCTGCAGTCCAGGCACTTCTGTCCTGCAGTTATCTGTTGATGTTATTGATCTGAATAATGTCTCTGTCGGCCGGCTAGCATCACTTCAGTGTGAATGTCTCTGGGGAAGGTGTTTCTCTGAGGTCTCTGCTGGCTGAGAACTGCTCAAAACTCACTTTCAGACAGCACCGAGTGTTTGAAATAACTTCTGTTTGAGATCTGATGTGGATTATGATCACCATACAAGCCAGAAATATTCATAAGCGATGCAAGAGACTACGCTAGCCATTACCATAGTAAATATGGTAAATACGACCGCTTGAAGAAATCAGACAAATATAGGCAATCGTAGTCGTTTATTTATTTAGTAACATAATTTATCTGTCAGTTTGTCTCGTCTCTTTATACCTGACTGTCTGTTGTTCATATTTAGCTCCACGTATGACATAAAATATCTCTGCTGGCTGAGAACTGCTCAAAACTCACTTTCAGACAGCACCGAGTGTTTGAAATAACTTCTGTTTGAGATCTGATGTGGATTATGATCACCATACAAGCCAGAAATATTCATAAGCGATGCAAGAGACTACGCTAGCCATTACCATAGTAAATATGGTAAATACGACCGCTTGAAGAAATCAGACAAATATAGGCAATCGTAGTCGTTTATTTATTTAGTAACATAATTTATCTGTCAGTTTGTCTCGTCTCTTTATACCTGACTGTCTGATGTTCATATTTAGCTCCAAGTATGACATAAAATATATAGGATAATCATAGTTTTTGTTCGGGATCTCCATCTGCCAGCGTTACTCGGGTCGTATTTTTGATGGAAAAAAATTATAGAAATGATAATTCTTTCTAAATGTGATGTATACTGTGACTATAATCAGAAACTGATGCGACTGAAGTATATGCCCTCTTTCTTTTGTGTAATAACGGTAAATACCACTTTATTTCTGTGTGACTAATTTTCAATCCTGACAAATTAATTCATTATGATCAATGTATCAGTTATTATTGTAAAACTGGTAAAACATTGATGCTTTTGGATTGAAATCTTGTAAGTAAACATCAAAGCATGCAAACAAACGGCCGCTCGTATGTTGGTTTTGTGATCTCACCCAGCTCCAGTGATTTATTTCTGATTAGTTTTCTGATCACTTCTCTTTGTTGGTGAAATGATGGGGTTGCGTGACGTTGTTCCAGAGAGGCAGGTTTTAGTGAAGCGCTGCGGAGCTTCTGGAAGGACACAGCGTGATCTTGTGCTCTGTGCTATTAGCTCTGACCCAGTGCAAAAGCCCCTAATCTGTACCAGGTTTGGCAGCTGTAGGGGAGAAAAGCCCCACCGCTTTAATCAAAAGCAGCCACTACAGAGCCCTCCCTCTACACACGTTTCTGAGCTTTTACTGACGTCCAATGACCAATAACTCTTGTGTTGAATGTCATGATATTTAATGAATGCTAAGAGACTCAGAAATGCCTTTTCAAGGTTTGATGCGTTAAATGGAAACACCGTTTAAGATATCAAGGATCGCATTTTTTTATCATCCGTCTTGACATTATTCTGGGCCAGTTTGAAGTGATTTGGGTGAAATATAAGAGGAGCATTTGTGCCTGTTGGTGGCGCTATGACTGTGACAGTCACAATCCTGCTTGATGCATTCACCTCACATTTACCATCTGTGAACGTCTCAGAATTGTGTTTAAGCGCCTTTAATGGTTTTGTTTGTGTCTTCAGGGCAACGTTCCTCTCAAAGAGCTGAACACGAGACCCCTGGAGGTGTTCATGTGCAGCGTGCTGAAGAGACAGGGCTACGGCGAGGGCTTCCGCTGGCTCTCACAGTACATCGATTAGAGGAAGAGGAAGAGGAAGCACCACGCTCATCCCGCCTTCACAACCACGACTCCACTCACACAGACTGTTATCCTTCAGTTCATCGACTGGTTCTCACATTGTTTCTTACCAAAACCACAAACCTGCAGTGATTCTGCAAATGTGGTCAATTCCAAACAATGAATCTTCGCATTGGCTTCGGTTTTATTTACTCTGAAATTTGATGTTTTTTTTGTCCGTTGATCTCTTTCTGTTCATCAGGGAATGATTCTGCGTGTGTACTCACAGAAATGTTCACAGCTTCTGAGTCATTTGCGTCACATACTTCAAACAGGAAGTGCTTTGACTTCTCTCCAGTGTTTCGTTTCCTGTCGTCAGGCTTTAAGATGAAGTCGAGACTGTCTGTTAATGTGCTGATGTGGCCGTGTTGAATTGCATATCTGTTTTTGTTCTCCCAAAAAAATTAAAACAATTGTACTGCCACATTCAGAAATTAATTCCCAAAGCTACTGTAAACTGAAATAGACCAATAGTTGTTTCTCTTTTTTTAATATGATTTGGAATTGAAGACGGGCATGGCAATGAACCTCAGAGTAATGTGTGAGTATCATTACTGGCCACAAGTGTCTGATAATTTGGGCGAGAGCAGAGCATGCCTTCCACACAAACACACATTATTATTATATTTAACTGCTAATGACTAGTAACATGATGATGGTGAAAAGTGGACACACAGAAGATCGTGATGTTTGAAGCTGTTCGATAGCTTGCCTTGAACAGAAGGGTGCGAGTGAAATAAGGACAGCTGTTAATCAATGACATGGACAAAATATAATTTATGTAAATGCCATATATAGATTTTTTTAAAGCTGTCCTTGGATAGCTCTTAATTTGAATAACATGAATGAAAAAAAAAACATGCATGCCTTGTTCCATGATTATTATTAATTTTTATTAGTGTTTTTTTTTTTAATAAACACAAATAACATAGTGTAAAACATCTAAAACGGGGTGAGATGCCAAGGGCGCAGTCTTCTAGGTCTATTTCTATGGAGTCGCAGTGGAATGGCACATAAATGCATTTTATTTTCTGTACTGTCCTTCCATGTATCATTGTCATTCCATGAGCTACGAGAGATGCAGTTGTTTCCATCAGAAATTGTAATAAATATTTGCAATGAAAGCAAGCCATGTTGAGCTCACTTTTTTTTTGCTGAATTAAGTATTTAATATGTCTCGTATACATGCAGAGAGAAGTGTGGTGTAGGTGGTCCTGCAATAAAGCCAATGCAATCCAAACATCGGCGACAGATAAACCACCTCAGCCAGGGTTAGCAATGAACACCTGCCAAATGTGGCACGAATAACACCGTCAGCTCACAAACCACTGAAATCTCTGTATGAAATCTGAGTGCCACTGAGGTGCTCATGCATGTGAATACTTACACTTTCACTTTTTTGCTTTTCCTTCTGGCTTTTCTTAATGTATGAAGTTAATAATTATGCAAACTGTATAATGTTGATGTTTACAGAATAAAAAAAAAGAAAGTACTTAAGTTTCCAGGCAGATTTTAATTGATCAGATGCACAGCTCCGGAGCTCATTCCTGAGTCCCTTTCACTCTCAGCTCTGCGTCATGCAGGAGCTCTGGGTCTGTCCGTCCCCTGGTTCTGATCCATCACTCCATCCGGTGCTCATTACTCAATGCATCTCTAAAGAAGGTTTTGTGTGGTTGCCACCTTCAGCAGAGGAAACTTAAGACACGCTCTCCATTTCTTTATGCCACATCCCAATGGAAAATGTATATATAGCAATGCTCCTCAGGCTCTGCCGTGTTTCTCCGTCAAACAGGTCGAGGCAAGATCATAATCATTTGACTGTAAATTTGATCCAGAGGTAGTTGCATGAAAAATCAGTAATGCCTAGAAGTTGTGTTTTGTAGTTTAACCACACGGTGGCAGTATATTGTTCAAGTGTAGAGGTGCTACTTAGTATTCCCTAAGAAGCCATAATAGTCCTGTAAAATGTAGCATGTGTTGAATAAAGAGTTAAGAGGATTTACTTGTGCAGTTACTGAGTACTAGAGGACACAACAGAAGTCTGCTTTAATGCAGAGGTATTGTTGTGTATGTAGTATTAAAGTACGATGCCTTTTTTTTTCAGTTTGAGTAGCCTTATCTCGTCAGCTTGTCCTTTGGGTTTCTTTATGTCTATATAGACCCCAACAGCTGTGATTGGTCTTCTTTCTAACCCTATCACCCATCTTAAAAGATGTCTGCTGTAATAATAGAGTACTAAAGAACAAATCATAATCAAGGAACGAAACTTTCTGCTTTATAACAGTTTTTATTTGTGCACTTTGCACAAGCACTTTAAATATACAACAACCTGGATGCCAACTACCATTTCTTATTTTAGTGTGATTCTCACAACAACCATTCATATCTTTTAAATTATATGCTAAGTATAATGGTAAAAAAAAAGAAATTCATGTGCTAATACCAATTACAGATTAACATAAAAAACAAATATACTTTCAAAAAAAGAAAAAATGACCTGTAGACATACTTTATTCACATTTTATCAAGAGTTACCTAGAAAACTGTTAAGCCATTGACGAGGTGCCATTCTTCTGAATGTCTTAATGTCCGGAGGATCGAGTTAGTGCTGATGGGTTAGGGTTAGTGCTGATGGGTTAGGGCTAGGGTTAGTGCTGATGGGTTAGGGTTAGTGCTGATGGGTTAGAGTTAGTGCTGATGGGTTAGTGCTGATGAGTTAGCGTTAGGGTTAGTGGTGATGGGTTAGTGCAGATGGGTTAGGGTTAGTGCTGATGGGTTAGTGCTGATGTGTTAGCATTAGGGTTAGTGGTGATGGGTTAGAGTTAGTGCTGCTGGGTTAGT